GGGACCACTCCCCTCCGCCCGGCCCCCGGCGCCCGGGTGCTGGCCTTGCCAGCTGGTGCCGGCCTTGCCAGCTGGTGCCCTGGGACAGCTGGCTTCTGGGGGCTCCTCACGGCAGCTCCGCCCTCGCCGCGCCCGGGGCTTCCCTGAAGTCCTGGGACCCGGGACGGGGACTCGTGTTGGGCGCCCCTGGCCGGGGCCGCGGGTCTTGGCCGAAGGGGGAAGCGTCTCATCCCGTGAAAAGTGTCGGACGAGAGCAGACGGCCGGCGCCTGAGAAAGAGGGACTTATGTTTAAGGACGTCCCCTCTGTTACATTCTGGGGCCGCACAGGTGGCATCCCCTGCAGGCTCGCTTGTTTCCTTAAAGGCGTTTATCCACAGCCGTGGGAGAGGGTTTGGAGCATTCGTTCAGGCTGGGATGAACGATAGGAATTGAATGCAATAGTCAGGCTTATTGACAGTTTTGGATAGAAATTGCTAGATATTAGAAGATAAGCTCAACTGAATACATTTGAGAAGCACGTTAAGTTGTATTACTTCAGTCAACATGCCCCACATCTCTTATTCTTCAGAATAAAGTTCAGCTTCCTAAGACCCTTCTAATCTGTTCTTCATTTTCTTCCTGAATTGTCGTCACATTCGACCATGTATTAAGATAACTTGATAATTTAATCTTTTCTACCTCATGGTAAAACCACTATTTGTATTCCACAGTGTTTGTTAATAGCATCACCTTGCATATAGTAGGTGCAGAATTGAACATCACAGCAAGAATCATATGCAAACATCTGGAGACCATAATAGATTATAAATGAAAGTTCTGTGGATGAAAAAGGGGCCACATACTAAACCTGACAAGCTCAGGGGAGGCCTGCCTGGTAAGCCATACAAACTCAGAGACCTAAAGTAACACATAGGATGGTCTGCAATGAAAACTTACTAACTGAAAACGAATTGGGATGGTTAGTCATGTCCTAGGCTGGTGTCTTTCTTGACAAAGCTCAATCTTTAACTGAGCCTGTCTACTGTCTTGTTGCATCTCCAATAACATATCATTGGAATGTCAGAGTAACTCCCTTTTGCCATACCCTTCAGGGCACAATCTCCCACCAGAACACTGGACCACAGAACCCCCTCATTGCTATCTTGTTCTCCCACATACCATCTCTATTTGCTGTGTTACTTGTTACCTATCCAGTACCCACCAATGTAAAAGTGTGCGGAGCCAGAGGGCAGCGAATGGTTGAAGAAAAGACAAAGAGAATAAGCTGGGTAGATGGATCTTCCTGTGCCTGGCTGAGGCCACAGAGAGAGATCCAGAGGCAAGCTGAGCCTTTATTTTATAGCCAGAGGTAAACAAGGTAGTGGTCACCATAGTTACAGTGTTCTTGTGAGTTTCACTCCTTTTGGCAGCACTTGCTGCATCTCCCTCCACCCATTAGCTGCCCAGGTAAGATCTAGGGAGCAGTTATAAGGTCAAGCCTAATTATGCTAAGAGGACTGGGCCCTCTAAGCTGGGACTTGTTTGTGGCTTTGCCAACAGGTCAGTCCGAGGCTTAATCATATAGCCACTCCCTGCATAAAAGAAGTATTTGTCTTTTCATTTTATTCTTTATCCAATCTTAGAGATTTCCTAGCTTTGCTTTCTTCCGCCTCCCTAATCTACCACCAATGGATTTCACGTAACCCCTTACATCTTCTCTGGAACATTTTCTCAAATCCATTGAGGTTTGGCTTCCTGGCAGTTGTCATCAGTTTGGCTCAAACACATGAAAATTCTTACAGGATTTGGGTGTTTCTTACATCTGACAGTTCTGAATTGTTTTCTCTGACTGTTGTATATGTTCTTATTGCCCTCAATTAGTTGGCTTATTTTTATTGATTTCAGAGAGGAAAGGAGAGTGAGAGAGAGATAGAAACATCAATGATGAGAGAGAATCATCGATGAGCTGCCTCCTGCATGCCCCCTACTGGGGATGGAGCCCCCAAATCAGACAAGTACCCTTGACTGGAATCGAACACAGATCCTTCAGTCCACAGGCCTATGCTCTGTCCACTGAGCCAAACCAGCTAGGGCAATTACTTGGCTTCTCATAACATATATACTTTTGTCAAAACTTAACTAATGGTTTTGTTTTCCTTTTTTAAAAAAATAGGTTTTTGATTTTTAGAAAGAGGAAGGGAGAGTGAAAGAGAAACATCCATGTAAGAGAAAAAATATGGATTGGTTGCCTGCCACACACACCCCGACAGGAGATGGAACCCATAGCCTGGGCATATGCTCTGGACCAGGAATCCAAATGGTGACCCTTTGGTGCACAGAATGATGCCCAACCAACTGAGCCACACCAGCCAACGCTAATGGTGGTGTTTTCTGAACTAGATTTTGTTAGATTCTGTAGGTTGGATTCTGTCTAATGTATCTTTGTATCTTAATTTAAATTCAGTTGAGTGAAATTTTGAGTTCCTGATATATGGGCAGTTCCCACCCTCAAGTAGCTCACCATTTTATTAGGGGAAATAGTCTTATAGAGCTATAAAGATAGCCACTGTAATAGGGTTGTAAGGGTAGTAGTAAATTGTGTACAAAGTAAAACATTAATATGTACAGAGGAGGTTGATAATGGGGAGTGGTTAGGGGAGTGTCAGGAAAGTCTAGATAGAGTTGTTTTTTTAAGTGTAAATAGAACTCCCCAGAAGAAGTGGAAGAAACAACACGTCAGACATAGGTATATATTTCAGTAGGATGCATTCCAGAAACTGTAATCAGTTTTGGGAGGTTAAATATTACTCAATTATGCCTTTTATATTTTCCTGTTTAGTTCTCTTACCCATCTTCCATAGTGGTTATTTAAATCTTCTTTACTCTTTTCAAACCTATCCCTTGAAACTTAACAAAGACTTTCAACTTCCCTTTAAAAAAAAAAAAGAAGAAGCCCTGTCTGGGTCAGTCATTTGGTTGGAGGAGCATCCAATACATCAAAAGTTGCAGGTTCGTTTCCTGGTTAGAGCACATACCTAGGTTGGGGCTTGTACAGGAGGTAACTAATCCATGCTTCTCCCTCACATTTCTCTCTCTCTCTCTCTCAACATATCCTCGGGTGAGTTTAAAAAAAAAAAAGAGAGAGTGAGAAGGAATCTACCAGATGTGAGCTTTCTCCACTTCTTGCCATCAAACCTATAAGCTAAACCTGAACCTGCAGTCATCTTTTCTTCCCTTTCCTCTCATACTTTCAATTACAACAGAAGTGAAGTCTCTGCTCCTAACTAAGGACTGCCCTCCTCTTGTGCTCTAGATTTTCTTTTTGTCTGCTCAGGGACCCAGTCACCCTCCTGCTATGCCTTTGAAATCGCTTTCCCCAGGTCTCCAATGACTCCCTTGTAGATAAATCAAATGGACACTGTTACTTATAGCAGCCAAGATCTGGAAGTAGCCCAAATACCCATTAGTAGATGAGTGGATAAAAAAGCTGTGGTAGCCCTGGCTGGTATGGTTCAGTTGGTTGGGCATGGTCCCGTGTACCGAAAGGTTGCTGGTTTG